ACAGTAAGTGCCGCCTATGCAAACAAGCTGAAGAAACAGTGGACCACCTGGTAAGCTGCTGCAAGAAGATCGCATAGACTGACTACAAGCAGTGGCATGACAAAGTAGCAACAATGGTGCATTGGAAGATCTGCAAGAAATATCATTTGCCTGTAAGCAAGAACTGGTGGGATCATAAAATAGAGAAAGTCATAGAAAATGATAAAATTAAAATGCTCTGGGACTTCAGAATTCAAACAGACAAGCACCTGCAACATAACACCCCGGACTTAACAATTGTCGATAAGAAAGACAAAAAAGTCTGGATAGTGGACGTGGCAGTGCCTGGAGACAGCAGAATAGAAGAGAAAGAACTGGAGAAGATAACAAAATACAAAGACCTACAAATAGAAATAAAAAGACTGTGGCAAAGGCAAGCAAGGGTAGTACCAATAATAAGAGGCGCCTTGGGTGCAATCCCAAAACAACTGGAGCATCACTTGAACACCATTGGCATTGACAAATTCACCATTAGTCAATTGCAAAAGGCAGCCTTACTAGGAACTGCTTCCATCCTGTGACGATATCTGTAATACCATCAAACTTCCACATCTGCCTATCCCAGGTCCTTGGTAAGGACTTGATAGGTAGACAAAAATGCCAAATCCAGTCTGAACAACTGGCTCACTGTGCGATGATCAATAACAACAACAACAACAACAACAACAATAATAATAATAATAATAATAATAATAATAATAATAATAATAAAGTTGGAACGGACCTTGGAGGTCATCTAGTTCAACCCCCTGCTTTATAAGAATTGCTTATGGTGGAATGTATTGGTTAAAAGTTTCAGTGTGCAAATATATTTATTGGCAAATATTTAGACAAAACATAGATTTGAAGATGTATATATCAAAGACCAAGATTGTTGTGTTTGAATGGGGAAATGAAGCAAACATTTGCAGGTTTTCATACATAGTGAAATAGAACAAATAGATGAATTTGTATCTTTTGGTAGAATGTTCAAAGGACAAAAAAATGTAAGCTGTGCACATTTAATAGAAAGGCAATGAATACTATATAGTCTATTGTAATGAATAAACATAACAGTTAGTTCCCAGACTAATAGAGATTCAAGCAACAGCCAGCTGCAACTTCTCCATTATCAGCAAAGATACTTGTTTCTTTAAAGAATCAGAAAATCTGCACCTTAAGATACCTGGGGATATATCAGTACAAAACCTGCCATCCATCTGAAAAAATCTTGCTAAAGAGAACTCTACAATAACTCTGCTTGGAAAATCATCACTTGGCTTTAAGCAGTTGTCTAACAGAATGTCTCAAGAAATAAGTGAAAGTAATTGTATCATTCTGCCCATTTTCTTATATATATACAACAATTGAGTATGTCAGGGAAACAAATCATTTAGAAGATTGTTGTGGAAATGGGTTGCATATGCAAAAATCAATGTGTGTGGAAGAAAAATAGAGTCAAGAAAAATTGCTAATACTTTAAATTAATGGGAACTGGATAAGAAAATTAATAGTGCAAGAGGAATAGGTTGAAGTGATGTAGTCACAATGACGGAATGAAAGAGTATTGGATTACAACAAATATATAATGGAAGAATGTACTGCTTCAGAGGAAGAAGCCTATGAAAGTTGATGAAGTGGATGCTGGATAAAGTTGATGAAATCTTCAGAAACAGAGATGTGAGACGTTAAAAAAATAAAGGCATAGTAATAACCAATATAGACATGATGGAAACAAGGACTGTTTGCAAAACATTATGGACAGGTATGTGAATAGCGTTGATATAAACTATATTTAGTTATATTTCCTTTTCTAATCTCCTCTCTAATTTTTTTAATCACTTCTTTTTTTCTCTGTTTACTGGAAAAGATAGTAGCATGATTTTATCTAATAAACTATGTACCTCTGTGAGATTACTTAAGGTCTTATTTATCCTCTGTGTTTTCATCAGCTGTATAAGATGTCTAAAAGAGGTAAGTGCTCCAGAAGGGCAGGTCAATCTGTCAGCAAATAACTCAAGGTTAGCAGATAGTGAATTGAGAAAATATCTTTTTAATCCTTATGAAAAACCTTGCAAAATAAATTGGTAATCCCACAAACTGAAGTATATCACATAATATATTAAACTATTAGAAATAACTATTCTTAGAACTGGCCTTATTTTCTTTTTTTTTTTTTTTTTAAATAATTTTTTTATTGATTTTTCATTAAAAAAAAAACCATAAATCTTTTAGCACAATATCAACCAAAAAAAAGAATCAACACTAATCAGTACATTCATGGACATGTCCGGTGTCCCCCTCCTGCACCACCCTCTCACTTGCCTACACCTTCCTCCTCCACATCCTACCACCACTCCTCCTTCCTCCCTATTTCCTTTCTCCCTCAACCATCCCGTCAGTGCAGTTGGGGTATCACCGGGCACCTCCTTAGCATACATATATATACATATAAATCTATAATACCAACCTACCCCTTTCCCCCCTCCCCCCCCAGGACTTCCCGAAGCTAATCTAGGAAATAAATACATAATCATCCAATTCTAGTCAAAACTGCTCATTATTACTACACACTAGTACAAAATTGCTCTGACTCTAAAATAACATTAAATTATAACAAAAAAAAGTTTTTTAGATATATTATATAATATACCTATTTTTATTCTAAGTTTTTAATCAAAAGCTGCATAATAATTTTTCAGTTCATACTTTCTCTGAATATAATCTATCCATCTTCTCCATATTGAGATAAATTTTTCCTGAGAATGATCCTTCAGGTACGCGGATATTTTTGCTATCTCTGCAGAATATGATACTTTCTGTCTCCAATCATCCATAGTTGGTAATATCTTTTTTTTCCAATTTTGAGCAACTAATGTCCTTGCTGCTGTTATACAATACAACATCAGTGTCATTTCTTTTTGATCCAAATTATCCATAATATCCAATAAAAATAACTGCGGTGTAAATTTTATCTTTTTCTAAAAAATCTGTTGAATATTCCACCAAATCTTAATCCAAAAAGCTTTAACATCCCTACATGTCCACCAAATATGATAATAAGTAGCATCCATACTACCACATCTCCAACATTTTGGTTGCAAATTCGGATACATGCAAGACAATTTTTGAGGGTCCAAATGCCATCTATAAAACATTTTATAGAAATTTTCCCTTAAATTC